GCCACATGAGGTAAAGGCTGTCACCTTGTAGATGTGGCATCTCTAATAAATGTGGGATGTATTTTCTGGGAAATAAAGTAGTGAGGCATTTATATTCCCAGGTTTCCAAGTTTGTTTTATCATCCAGTACTTCATGAATTAGAGATGGAAATAAGAGTCATCCTGGAGATCTGAGGAGTCACCAGAATAACAGCAGTACTTGCTCTGCCTCTTTGGATGGACACATTTTTCCTGATTCTGGATAAACACCAGGATATGTATCCTGGGTTCATCCTGCAGTGTGGTGGGAGGGGATGCTCTCCCTCTCTTCTGATCAGGTGAGAGCCCATCTGAAATTCTGTGCACAGTTCTGGTGCCTCCAACATAAGAAGGACATGGAACTGTTGGAGCAGGTCCAGAGGAGGCCATGAAGATGCTGAGGGGACTGGAGCACCTCCTCTATGGAGCCAGGCTGGGAGAGCTGGGGCTGCTCCGCCTGGAGAAGAGAAGGTGGTGTGGATGTCACAGCACAACTAGTCTGTAGTCAGGCAAATAATTCAGGCATATATAAGAAACCCAGTTCAGCTAGCCTGGTTTGATAAACAGGTCCCTGGGTGAACAAGGATAGGGTGGACTCAGACCTACACAGGGACCCTCAGCCAATCTCATTCAGCCCTAAACACAAATGTATCATTGGTCAGAGAGCTGGGCAGTGTTAATACCTCAACCAAACACGTGTGTAAGCCCAGGAAATTCAAACTCCCCATAAAAGGGACGGCCACAAAAAACTTAGTGCTGCTTGTTGGTGACCCTCTGTGAATTCCTGTCATCTCTGTCTCCAGCCAACGACCCCATTGTAATATGTGGAGACTAAACAGGTCCTTCCAGGGTCTGAAGGGGCTACAGGGAGGCTGAAGAGGGACCCTGCATCAGGAAGTGGAGTGCCAGGACAAGGAGGCTTGCACTGACAGAGGGCAGGGTTAGATGGGATATTGGGAAGGAATTGTTCCCTGGGAGGGTGGGCAGGCCCTGGCACAGGGTGCCCAGAGAGCTTTGTCTGCCCCTGGATCCCTGGCAGTGTCCAAGGCCAGGTTGAATTTAGGGGTCTGGAGCAGCCTGGGATATTGGAAGGTGTCCCTGCCCATTGCAGGGGTGGCACTGGATGGGCTTTAAGGTCCCTTCCAACCCAGCCCAGTCTGGGATTCTGTGATTCTATGAGATGGGCGAGGTAGAAATGGGCCAGCATTTGAGATGCCATGACACTATGGCCCTGTGTTGAAATCTCTTCTATTCCTTTTGTAATTTACCTCTTTTTGTTAATTCTGTCCTCTTGTTTGTTTTTTTTTAAATTCTGGTTTGGGTTTTTTGGTCTCAGTTTCCATAGTGTCTGTGCCCTCAGTGGTTACTGAAGGCTTTGTTGCCTCCAGCAATCACAGCTGCTCTTTCTGCTGACTTGTGTCAGGTAAGAGCAACCTCTGCAAGGCTGTGAAGAGCCTTCTGCCAGTAAATACATCTTCAGCTCCTTTTAAGGTCTGCTGTCATCTGGTGGCCCTTTACCTACCAAAACTTCAGGACTCTTACCATATCTTTTTGTGCAAATCACTGGAGATGGATGAGTTGTGGTAGAAAGCTTTTCATGGGCATAGGAATCTGCTCTCGCCTTTTTTTGGTCCTGCCATTTTCTCCTTGGCTTTGGGACTTTCTTAAGGATTCAGGTTATATGGGAATGAATTGTTTCCTTGCTGGAGAGAAGCACCTCTGTACCTGTTCACTCAGGGAATTCAGTCCAGTTTTGGTGATGACCAAATGGAATTAAATTTATTGGTCATTGGTTCCTGTTGTCAGGGTCGGCATAAACTCAACGAGGGCTGTTTTTTTGAAGCAGAACTTTCTGAAAGATTCCCTTTTTCCAAACCTCCTGTTCCCTCACTTCCTGGCAGATCTTGTACCTGTTGGTGACAGATCTGAGGGTGAAACTGGGGTTAAAGTTGTCCATTTTGGTACAAAGTGATGACTGCAAAGAGGGACAAAGAGTGTCCACACCAATAGCAAGTCCTTGTCCAAGGAGCTGCTTCCCACAGGCTCCGAGAGGCTCTGAGAAATTCTTTCCATGTGGGAACAGTTGTGCACCCTTGAGACAGGATTCTTTTAGGAAACAGATTAAACTCTCTTTCTTATCCATAAAGAGAACATTATCTCTTTTCAAGCTTAGAGTGAAAAAAATGTTAATTCTTTACCAGTGTTATGGTGGTACAATCCCAGTTAGATAATTAGATTTAATAATGATTCTTTGCTTGCTACTCTTCGTGGAAATATCTGTTTAATATCTTTCTCAACGATCTAGATGAGAGGATCAAGTGCACCCTCAGGCAGTTTGTGAAGAACACCTTGCCAGGTGGGAGTGTGGATGTGCTGGAGGGCAGGAAGCTCTGCAGAGGGATCAGGACAGGCTGGATCCATGGGCTGAGGCTCAGCAAGGCCAAGTGCCAGGTCCTGCCCTGGGGTCACCCCAAGCCCTGCAGCTCCAGGCTGGGACAGAGGGGCTGGAAAGGGCAGGAAAGGCCCTGGGGGTGCTGTGCCAGTGGCTGGACAGGAGCCCAGGGGGCACAGGGGGGCACAAGGCCAATGGCCCCTGGGCTGTGCCAGCCGTGGGGTGGCCACAGACCCAGGGCAGGGCCCGTCCCCTGGGCTGGCCCTGCTGAGGGACCTCGAGGGCTGTGTCCAGTTCTGGGCCCTCCTGGCCAGAGAGCCCTGGAGGGGCTGGAGCGTGTCCAGGGAAGGGAACAGAGCTGGGGAAGGGGCTGGAGCCCCAGGAGAGGCTGAGGGAGCTGGGAAAGGGGCTCAGCCTGGAGAAAAGGAGGCTCAGGGGGAACCTTCTGGCTCTGCACAACTCCCTGACAGGAGGGGACAGCCAGGGGGGTCGGGCTCTGCTGCCAGGGAACAGGGACAGGACAAGGGGAAACGGCCTCAAGCTGTGCCAGGGGAGGCTCAGGTTGGAGAGCAGGAGGAATTTCTCCATGGAAAGGGTGCTCAGGCCTTGTGAGGGGCTGCCCAGGGAGGTTTGGAGTGCCCGTCCCTGGAGGTGTCCAAGGAAGGGCTGGAGGTGGCACTCAGTGCTCTGGGCTGGGGACAAGGTGGGCATCGGGCACAGCTTGGGCTCCATGGGCTGGGAGAGCTTTTCCAGCCTCAGGGATTCTGTGAATCAAATCAGTCCTGCAGAATGTGGGGAAGGTATTTCTGCCTAAGGATGTGCAGAAATGAGTTCCCAGCATTCATAGTCATGTTCTTAGGAACCCAGTTACAAAGCCTGCCATCTGTTTGAAAATAATTTTAATTTCCTTGCCTAAACAAGAAGTTTATCTATTCTAAAACATCCTTCCAAACTAACCTGATACAAAACTCTCGTGTCTCATGAGAATTTTTTGTCACGGTTTCCAATTATAGGCGTATTTCAGATTACTCGTGGATATTCCTATGGGCCTTTTTGGTTTGTTTGTTTTGATTTGGGTTTTTTTGTGGTTTAGATCTGTTATTTCTACAGAGGAAATTGAATAGATTGGAAATTAAGCAAATCCAGCTGAGAGATGTGGATTAGAAGGATGCTATATACCTATGGACCAGTCAGAATGAAGTTGTAGCAAGCCCACCTTAGCATATGGGTGTATTGCAGAGAAGAAACACAATGGTTTTTTCCTTATTAGCAATTTTAATTAACTTTTAATTGATTTCTAGCAAGATAAAGAGTTTCATTACCAAGCCTTACAGTGAACCAGAATTAAGCATTCCCGGTGACTGTTCTGAAAACAAAGCATGCAAATCTCTTATGATCTTCACAGATGTCATTCATAAAGGCAAATAAATGAGAATACCTTGCTCACAGAGTGCCCTTTGTTTAATTTACATAATCACGCCCTAATTTAATTAAGAGGAGGCAAAATAACAGGTCAGCATTTCAACATGAGAGCTCTATGAAAACCCCTATTAATTTTGTCCGTCCCTTTAATTATGTGATAACAAGAATTATTTGGCTGACACTGAAATCTAAGGCTTGGTTCAGTATGTAAGAACAAAGATCCCAGCTAAAGAAATCAAGATGGTTTTCTGTGGCAATCATCAGCCTGTTCTGAGCACAGAAGAATGAGGATGAAATATGATAATGTTTGGGTTTGAAGAAGAGGATGAACAAAAGAGAAATTTAAGTAGTTCTTCAGAGAGCAACAATGAAAATATCACTGAGTGTGACAAATGTGTTAAGTGGAAAGAAACTTTCTAACTGATGTGTCCCTTCTGTCTGTCTGCATCCATCCTTCATCTAAATTCATATTCCATAAGGATTTGGGCAGCAATGAAACAGTGCATCAGTGTTAAATAAAAATTCCCCTCAGACACCACTCAGTCCTGAGGATTCTTCAGCATTGGAATTATCTGAAGGCTTGGCTTCACAAGCATTAAATTCATCTTCTGTTGAAGTTCAGGGAACCATAGGGTAGAATCTCAGAAGCATTTAGGTTGGAAAAAGTTCCAGGATTGAGTCCAACCTGTGCCTGATCCCAGCCCAGAGCACTGAATGCCACGTCCAGCCCTTCCTTGGACACCTCCAGGGATGGGCACTCCAAACCTCCCTGGGCAGCCCCTCACAAGGCCTGAGCACCCTTTCCATGGAGAAATTCCTCCTGCTGTCCAACCTGAGCCTTCCCTGGCACAGCTTCAGGCTATATCCTCTTGTCCTATCAAAAGTTTCCAAGGCTGAGCAGCTAACTGTGCCTTTTCTTGTGAAGAAATCCAGCTGGGATTCAGTTAACCTGGCTTCTGTCACTGGGAATGGAGCCATTTGTTTCTGTGGGATGTTTTATCTTCAGTCAAAGCTCAGAGAGAGCTTTGGCTGTTCCAGACAAGCCCTCCTGGACACCACAGAATTGGCAGAATCCCTTCCTGCCTCACCAGGTTTCTCTCCTGTGTGCATCTCCCTCAGAGATTTGCAATTTGTGCATTAATCCATGGTTTTTCTGCTGTCTCTTCAGGCTACAGATGCAGATGCTGGGGTGAATGGGCAAGTCCATTACAGTCTGGCAAACTTCAACAACCTTTTCCGGATCACCTCCAACGGCAGCATTTACACGGCAGTGAAACTGAACAGGGAAGTGAGAGATTACTACGAGCTCATCGTGGAGGCGACAGACGGAGCTGTGGACCCCCGGCGCTCCACACTCACTTTGGCCATCAAGGTGCTGGATATTGATGACAACAGCCCCATCTTTACCAACACCTCCTACACTGTCTGTGTGCCAGAAAATCTCCCACCAGGAACTGTCTTCCTGCAGCTGGAGGTAAGGAAGCATCGGTGAATGAAGGTGGTGTGTGGTTTTTTTTGTAATATTCAGGGTTCTTATTTAACTTGGCAGTGAGACTGCAATAAAAGATTGTGAAGTGCAGCTTGGGGGCAAGTGTTTTTGCCCAGAGCAGCTGTAGCTGTCCCTGGATCCCAAGGCCAGGTTGGATGGGGCTTGGAGCAGCCTGGGATAGTGGAAGGTGTCCCTGCCCATGGCAGGGATGGCACTGGTTGGGTTTTGATATCCCTTTCAACCCAAACCCTACTGGGATTCTGTGATTCTGAAAAATGCTTGGCCTTTAGCCAGGTACCAAAAAAGCCTTTAAAGATAAGGTTATTTAAGAAATAATAGCAATTAATAAAAACAAACAATGAAACAGCAAAACCTACACTGCAACTGTCTACACAGGCAGACAGAGATAGGCCAAGGGGAAGAGTTTTAAGCTAAAAGAGGAGAGATATAAATCAGATGTTAGGAAGGAATTGTTCTCTGGAAGGGTGGTGAGGGACTGCCACAGGGTGCCACAGAAGCTGTGGATCCCTGGAAGTGTCCAAGGCCAGGCTGGACGGGGCTTGGAGCAGTCTGGGATGGAAGGTGTCCCTGTTCATGGCAGGGGTGGCACTGGATGGTTTTAAGGTCCCTTCTAACCCAAACCATCCTGGGATTCTGTGATGCTGGTGGTGTCCAATAGCAGGTGCCCAGGGAGGAGAACTAAGGTGAGATTCAGTTTCCACTGCCATTTCCCCAGAATGCTGTGTTCATTTCCCATTGGTTGAACTTTCAGTGAATTTCATTCTTTGTGTCTGTACACATTGAATACAATTACAACAACACAACTAAACTCAGGATGTTGGCAATAGTTTGCCCTTTAAATCTCAGAGGGGTATTTTGTGAGAACAGATTTTGTTTGACGTCCCTCTGTTCCTGCAGGCCAAAGACGTGGACCTGGGTGCTGATGTGAACTATCAGATCCGCACTGAGGAAGCCCGGCAGTATTTTTCCCTGAACAAGCACACAGGAGAGCTGTCACTCCGGAAATCCTTGGATTATGAATCCTTCTCTGACACAGAAGCAACCTTCACCTTCCTCGTGGAAGCCTTTGACAGCAAGGGCACAATGCCTCCTGGGCTGGCCACTGTCACCGTCAGAGTTAAGGTAAAGGGGTCACTCCTCAGCCAACAGCATCCTCTCCCAGTCATGCCAGAATGTTCCATCATCATGCAGGTGTCTTTAGGAAACACCAGGACTCTCTTCTCTCCTGCATCTCACTTGTATGAGTCTTATTCTGCCAGTAGTTTGTTCAGTTAAACACACACTTTATAACAGCTGTAATTATTTTCCCATGTGCAATTATGTAGTTAATTTATGAAATCAAAGAACACCTGACACAAATACAAACATTTTGTCCTTTAGAATCCCTAAAAGACTGAAATAAACCCCTCATGGAATTGTTTGCAAAAGTGACACAATCACTTTTCAGCCCACAAATTGTAATTTTAAGACCCACTGGGGTGTATTGAGTGCTTGTGTGGCACAGCACACCCTGGATTCCAGATTCTGCTGCTGGAAAATCCAGCTCTTCAAAGGAGCAGCCTGATTTAGTGTCTTGCACCGTGAACTGCAGTGAGTTACAGCCTCATCTGAGGGTTTCATGGGCCTTCCCAGGAACAAAGAGATGCTGGTGTTTGTTTTGGAATGATCCACAAATGAAGTGTTTGTATATGGGACAGCAGCACTTCCCCATCTTCACTTGCCTGTGTCCAAGAGGAGAGGAGCGCTCAGATGCCTTAATCCTACTCCTGGCATTCCCAAAGATCTGTCAGTCTTTCTGTACTTTTTGAGCAGTTGTTTGAGTTTTGTAAACTGTGGAAGAGACTTTAATTGCCTAGATTTTAGTGAAGGAGCAAAAATTGTAGCAGGACCAAAAGCACAGCTCACAAATGTTCAGTTTAAATGTGTCTGTGAAAAGCATTTGGCAGCCTGGATTTCAGCCTATTCTGTAGCTGCAGGTGCTTGAATTGCCACATGGTTTTAAGTAATTCTGTTTGTCAGTCTCTACTGAGCTCACAATTCTTTCAGGACAGTAAATGTCTCCCATTATTAGCTCTGGTGACAATGCCAGAAGGCTTCTATGATGTCTCTCTGTCTGCAAAATGTCTCAGTGTGAGGTGCAGGTCACCTGTTCCTGACTAATCTGTGCTTTTTCCTAGCACATTCAACATCATTCACAGGAAGTAGCTTTTCCGTCATTCCCCGAGCTTCTTCTGTTGGACTTTTACAGAGCAAGTTGCTCAAACCTCAGGTTTTTTCCTAAAAGAAACCTTTTCCCAGCACACTGAATTTTTGAAAGAATAGTTTGGGTTGGTTTGGGTGGGTTTGTTGGGGTTTTTAAAAGATTTTCAGGTAGGATTGTGTTCAGAGAAAAGCTGTTGTCTGTTTGATTGTGTGGTTGATTGTATTAATTAATGTCAGGGAAAATTACACCTCAGCTCAGTTGTGTCACTGTACCAGCAGCTTGTGCACTCTCAAAGAAATAGGGAATTTAAGGTGGGGATAAATCGGATCAAAAAATCAGTTCTTGCTCTCCTGGAAATTCTTCCCACACATGAGCAACAAAATGGGAGCATGATGATGCTTTGAAGAGGCTGGAATACCAGGCTGGAACCAAAAGTAACAATTTTAGAGTAAAAGGTGTTTGGCTGGGGACAGAGCAGGGCCTGGGAGGGAGGAGAAGCAGGGGATACTCTTAAGTCAGAAAGAAAATAAATCCAGTTTAAGGTGAGTGTTTTCATGCTCAGTGACAGGCTGAGTTTTGTAACAAATCAGGGGGCATAATCAAATACTATTTAAGTGCTAGGATGAAGATGGTGCTTAGGTTCCAGCCTGGAGTGAGAGCCAGGACAGGGGACTTTTGAGTGGCACTTGAGAGAACGGAGGAGGACTAGTGGAAAAATCAGATTTAATATCTCAATGTGTTGGGTAGCTGTCATTAGTGGGGTTTTTGTCAGGCGGCAGATATTTTGAACATTGGTTACAAGAGGTGTCTGGATGGCTTAATTTGAGCTTAAAGGTGAACTTCCCAGATATAAAATTCACAGGGATGGGGGGAGGGGGTAGTGGGTGAAGGCAGAACCCTGTGCTGTTCATATTTGAGGTGGGAAGAATCCACAAGACACCTCAGAAGGCTGATTCAAGAGTCAGAGCAGCTGGAGCAGGGTGCAGAGTCTTGAAACCAAGTGAGAACAAGAACAGGCCACCCTTTCCCTCCCACTCAGCATCTTCTGCTCCTGCTGCAGGAACTGGATGTGTTTCCTCTGAGTAGTTCCTGAGCTTTCCTTTATTTAGAGGCTGGGCTCTGAGTAATTACTTTAATACAGGGTTTGAGAGCCCAAACAGGAGCTAAACCAAGTGCAGATGCCCCACAGTCCCCAACATAAGAACACAAAATTGAACTAGAGGGAAGCAGAGGCAGTGCTGGGGCCAAGCTCATGTCACCATCACAGATCCAGCCCCTCCAACCCTCAAAAGTTTATTTGTGTTATTACTGAGGTCTCCAGCCCTCTGGGGCTCCCTATGCTCTGCTCACATTTGTCATTTCTCCCAGTCCAGCTCCTCACTGCAAGCACTGTAATTTTTCCTGGGTAATGGAATTCTGTTAAGCAGCTATGGATGCCTGATGGTGTCGTCCATCATTTGTGTGATATCCAGCAGAACGAGCACACCCAGAGCCCCCTGCTCCCTGTGGCTGCAGCAGGGGGATGCACACTGGGCTGTTCTTTGGACTCTGAGCCCTTGGCATGACAAGTTACAAATAGTTTGTATTAACCTGCCCTGAACTAGGTCGAGGCACAGATTGCAGAGCACAGGGCTTTCACTGCAGGAGGAAACTTCATCTGTACCCTCATGTCGGGATGAAACAAATTATTGGTCTCTGCTGCAGCCAGAAGGTTCCTTGCATTGTAAGGATGTCCTAGGACTCCTTTGGCAGAGAAAACCAAAGGTAAATCAATGAATTCATAGACTCATTTAGTTGGAAATTACTTCTGAGATCACTGAGTGAAACCATTAACCCTGCACCACTAAACTGTGTCCCCAGGTGCCACATCCACACATCTTCGGAGCACTTCCAGGAATTGTAGCCCCACCTCTGTCCTGGGCAGCCCCTTCCAATATCTGGCCACCCTTTGGGTGAAGAAATCTTTCCTAATATCCAACCTGAACCTCCCCTGGCACAGCTTGAAGTTGTTTCCTTCTGTTCTGTTGTTGCTCCCTGGGAGAAGAGCCTGATCCCCACCTGACTCCAGCTGCTCTCAGGGAGTCACAGAATGATAATTCTTGCATCCATTCAAGTATTTCCAAGGAAGAATAATCTAAGTGGCACTGATTTCTTCCCACCACCTCAAACAGACCAAGATTTTTCTCTTTTCCCTGTTCTCAGGTTCCTTTGACTGCTTTCTTAACTTTTCCCCTGAAGCTGCTAGAAGCCACAGGGTGTCTGGGAGGGCTGAGTTTGTTCTGCTTTTTGTTGTACCCACACACATTCCCTCACAATCCAGATGATTCCCAGTACTGGAAAAAGCAAAACCCTTGCAGTTCAAATTATTAGGATTGAGCATTTGGATGCAACTGCTGTGGTAATAGGGTTTGTTAACAGAAACAGTTGCTCTTTAGTAATGTGTTCCAAAACACAAATAAAGAGGATTTCTGTACCATGGGGCCTGTAAGGCCTCTGCATGTTTTATGCTGTGTCCTCCTCTTCTTATTACCAGCATTATTTATGTATTGTTTTGCTTCTTTCTTGTTTGTAGAAGTGCTTTTCTCCTCTTTCTGAGTTGAGGATGGGTTTGCTTTGGAGTTTTTCAGTGTAGTGGAATGAAGCCATTGTCTTGAGTGAAGAATTCAAAGTGAGAGAGCAACAAGAATAGCTAAAAACAGAGGGTTCCAGTTCTAACAATGCCAAAAAAATGAGGATGAGGGGGCAGTGAGGTGATTGAGAACTGGCTGATTACGGGATGGTGGTCAGTAGCACAGGGTGTGGTTGGTGGCTGTCACTGGGGGTGTCCCCAGGGCTCAATACTGGGCCCAGGATTGTCTAAATTGTTCCTCAATGACTGGGGAGAAGAACCCCAGGCACCATGACAGGCTGGGAGTCCTCTGCTGGAGAGGAAGGACCTGGGGGACACTGAGCCAGCAGAGTGTCTTGGGAATCCTGGGGGCAGCAGGAAGAGCCACACAATGAACATCTTTTCCCATTTAAAGAACAGAGCAGCATCAGAAAACTTAAAGGAAGGTTAAAAAAATCAGCTGGATTGCCTCCAAAATATTTCTCATTTCTGGTAACACTAATGGAATAACAGGCCTGGGGTTGGGCTACAGAGCTGGTAAACAGATTTATTTCTTTCCTTCCTTCTCAACTGATCAGTTCAATCGTCTGCCAGTCATTTATTGCCTCGTGTATTCCATCATGAATAATATCCCTTAATTGATAGGATGAGCTACTTTAGGGCTTTCAGAGCACTGAATGGGAATGAGATCCAGTTGTGCTATGTGAGCAAGGCCCTGTTCTGTGCAGCTTCAGACAAAGCCCTATGTAAAGCAGCTCTGCACCCACTCAAAGACAAAATTCAAGGGGCTGCTTTGGCCATATCAGAATCATCACGAGGGTTTGAATTTGGTGTTATTGAAATCTGTTCATTATGAGAGGCCAAAGAATACCTAAAATTGGGAAGGGACTTGAAGTTCTTGATACTCCAGTATCTGGTGAAATCAGGTATTTCATGGAATCCCAGACTGGTTTGGGTTGGAAAGGACCTTAAAACTCATCCGGTTCCACTCCCTGCCATGGGCAGGGACATCTTCCACTATCCCAAGCTGCTCCAAGCCCCATCCAGTCTGACCTTGGACACTTCCAGGGATCCAGGGGCAGCCACAGCTGCTCTGGGCAACCTGTGCCAGGGCCTCATGGCATGGGAGACATTTAAGGAAAGGGGCAAAGATAATCTTCCCATAAAGGAATTAGAGTTGAATAACACTTTGATTTTCATGCAGAAAAATAAACTCCCCTCTGAGCAAATTGTTTTCTGAAGTTCAGAGCTCATATTTTCAGTTGTTTCCACTCTGTCTGTGTCGCTTCACATCCAGGGACATTGTTTCTGAAGAACTCTAAAATGTATTTTTTTAGACTGTCATGTATAAAATGCATATTGAACCCTTTGGCATCTCTGGGGAAGGATTAAAATGGGATCCTGGTTCCATAGCAGGTGGTGTGGTCTGGGGAAGGCTCCTCTATGTTTTTCACGGCTATGAATGTCCTTAGGGCCATGGCATCTTGTAGCCTTATGGAGTTTCTGTTCTGTTTTTTTAGCAATAAAATATCTTGGAGTTTTGTTTTTCAATCAGGTGTTGAGTGAGAACTTTCTGTGGTTAAACGTTTCACCAGAGGAATAGGAATTTTCAAGTACAGTGATACCAAACCACTCCTTTGCTTTCCCTAGAAAGGAGTTCCACAATTATAGGAAAGGTAAATGCTCCCCTGCAAGTCTCCAGACTGCAGGTAACTATTCAGCACTTGGAGGAAGCATTCCCAGAGCCACCAGCTCTGGGAGTGTGCACATAGACTGAAGTGGCAGATGTTCAAAACAAAATGCCAGCAGAAAACTTCAGATCCAGACCTAGAGTTGTGGGAAGAGTGGGAAGTTTGGGGAATTCCCATGCTGTGTTCTGAAGGAAACCTCTTCACTCTTTCCCTTTGTGGGATTGGACATTCAACATGAGTGGAAGAGGAGATGGCTCTAAAAATACATTTTTTCCCCCCATTTATTACACTTGTCATAAAAGGCTATAGACTGCAAAGTGGCTGTAAAGGCCTGATATGCATTTATTAGCTCAGACATGGGTTTCATAGCAAGGGAATATTGATTTCCACTTAGATAGAGTTGAGTAGGAACCTTGATACTAGCAGACTCACAAAAAGAAACTACTGATTTTTGAGCACAAAGCAGCACCCCTGAGGATGGAATACAGCCTGGAGCTGATTTTGTTGGAGCATAGAAAAAAAGCCCATTGTATGTTCTGGGAACAGCTCAAGATGTCATGGGCATGATCTGCTCCATTCCAGCCTCAAAAACTGTGCCCCCACAGTCACAGGATTCCAGAGTCATGGAATGGTTTGGGTTGGAAGGGACCTCAAAGCCCATCCATTGGCACCCACTGCCATGGGCAGGAACACCTTCCGCTGTCCCAGGCTGCTCCGAGCCCTGTCCAGCCTGGCCTTGGACACTTTCAGAAATCCAGGGGCAGCCACAGCTTCTCTGAGAATTCCATTCTAGGGCCTCCTCACCCTCCCAGGGAACAATTCCTTCCTAATATCCTACCCAAAAAAGAGAATTTAATGCTGGACAGATGCAGAGATGGAGTTTTCAGGTATTCAGCATAGAGAGACTTTGGACAACATCTATTTAGAGGAAGTCCTGGGCTTTCTTCTGAGCTGAGACCAAAGCCCCAGACGTGTTTTGCTTGTAAACAGGAAATAATTGAATATTGCATCTGATGGCTTCTTGAAACACCTCTAACCCTTGCACAGAAATGGATGCAGCACATGAGTGCAATCCTTAAGCTCAGGTTCAGGAATGGGGCAGTAAACCCCCCACAAAGTGGTTGTAAGTAGTCATGAAATCACCTTTTAAATCTGAGGCATAATCCCACAAGTGGGGCCAAACTGCAGCATCTTAAAACCTTCTCCAGTTCACTCCTCCAATCACATAAATCCTGTCTGCCATTAACTCAAATCCAGGTTCCTATTAACGGTCAGACATGCTCCAAAATATAGAAATGGGAGATCTGAGTAATGTATTCTCCATATTTCTCACTTTCAAATACCTGGGCTGCCTATTTTGACAGTAAGGAAATAACAGTCACATATTTATAGATAACTACAAACCAGCCTTTGTGTCACTGCTTATCTGGCTGCAGATTTATTCTATTTTTATACAGATTATTTACAAAACAGAGCAAAAGGCAAAGCATCTCACTACCAAAGCTGTCTCCCTACTACCATAGATACTATTTATCTACCACTTTTTCTTGGTTTTGTTCCTCCTTGCTCCCATGGGGCAGCACAAAAGCACTACAGGATCCTGACATCCCTCCCTTGCACAAAGATAAGGATGAAGCACAAAAAGCAAATTGGGAGAGATGGTTTAATTTTAGTTTTCTTGAGAATCCACATTTGCACCTTCAAAACCAGGCTAATACCTGTAAAGGGTTTTCTTGATGCCAGCTCGTTAACTCAGCTGTCACCCTCGGCATGTGCATGATCCCACTCCCCCACCACATTCCTTATTCTCTGAGCAGGACACAGCTCATTCCCAGGACTTACACAGGGCTGTTATTTAGGAAAAAGATTGGTAGGAAACAAACACTGTCCTGTCTGCAAGGAGTATGAAAATGCTGAACAAAAATGTTGGGAAGTGAGACTGTCATCTGGGAATGCCAAAGAGGAGAAACAAAGCAGGAGGAGAGGGAAGGCACTAAGAAGGAAATCAATACGTAATTTAAAACTCATTAAGACAGTCACTTGCTGTAATGCACTGATACTAACCCAGGTGCCCCCCAAAGGTGGGGACTGGTCAAACACAGCTAGAGCAGGAGAAAAATCCCTGCCGTGCAGCATTCCCAGAATAAAATAGCCTTGTAAATGTCACTGTACACAGGGACATGGTTTTTTGGTTTATGGGGACACCAAGGGACCTTTCATGCTTGTGCCTCACTAAGTTAAAAATGTAAATATTTAATAGCTGGGTGTTAAACCCTCTTTTCCTCCTCCTTCACTGCTCTGGGAAAAACACTTCTTGGATTCAAATCTCTGCTTCCAGATTCCCACAGAATCATGGACTGGTTGGTGTTGGAAAGGTCATTAAAGCCCATTTCCTTCCATCCCTGCTATGGGCAGGGACACCTTCCACTGGACCAAGTGGCATGTCCCAGTTAATAACACACAACATTAAATGAGTGACAGAATGGTCTGACTGCAATATACCACAAACCAAAAGACTTTCTAGAGAAGGATAAACTTTAATTGGAAAAAAGTGTTTTGGTAGACATCTTGTTTTATGAAAGGAAAAATAAAAACCAGAGTTTATTTTTAATCTCTACACAAATAGAAGTCACTCTGGATGACCCTGCAAGATATTTAAGATCTATCTCAGGCACAAGAATTTGTGCAAATGCCCTTTTGTCTTACAAAGGAAATTTTATTTCCCCTTAATTTATTGGATATTAGAGGTAACAAACATCATCAAGCCAGAGCATCTCATTCCTTTTGGAAAATGAGTTGAACCTGCTGCCACAGAAGAAGGTGGTGTGAAATTCTCTGCTCTGGGCTCTTGTGGGGCTGTGTTTTCCTGCAGAATTCCCTTCTGCAGAGCAGTCCCACATCCATTTTTTTGGGAATCTTCAGCACCTTCCCCCCTCGTTTTGTGCTGGAGTAATAGAATCGGGAGAGCCTGGGAATGGCATTCCCTATGGAGGGAGGGAGAGACTCAACAAAAACATTTGTGAATGCATCTGGAATTTTGTTGGAACTCGAGGACTAAACTCTGAATTCTGTTTTTTGCAGGATATGAATGATTACTCGCCAGTGTTCAGCCAGAAGCTCTACAGGGGAATGGTTGCTCCTGATGCAGTCAAGGGCACTGTTATCACCACGGTCTCAGCTGAGGATCAGGATCCCCCGGTAAGGAAAATCTGTTAATATTCCACACCCAAGAGGGAGGAAACTCAAACCCTCCGAAGTGCCCCTGCTCTCTCATTGACTCAGACTATGAGGAGCTTCGCAGAGGAGTAACTCCTACATTTGTTTCATGTCAGCCTGGCTTTGCTGTTCAGGACAGAGGCTGCATTTCCAAGGCTGCCTCCTGGAGCTGGAAAATCAATGCTACAGCTCTTGTCTGTTAGAGAGGCTTTAGGAAAGCCCTTTATCCAGCTTCAGAGAATGAGAGGAACAGGCAGGAAGGGGTGCTGTGCCTGTCTTTGGGGTAGTTCAAGAGGAAAGAAACCACGGTTTTGTGAGGTTGTCGCTGTTTGATGTCACAGTCACTGTGCACTTCCCAGCTGAGCCATCCCAGATTGATGTGGGACTGCAGAGCTCACCAGCTGCACATTCCATGGGCAATATTTGAACCCAGGGTACTTGTTTTGGGGATAAAGTTTATTTTTGTCCCTGCTTTTTTCTGCTGTTCCCTGTTTTTTTTCTGCCGCTAAAGCCCTCGAGTAACAGAGCTGGGCACACACCTCTGACTCATTGCCTGTTCTGAAGTTTGATGTCAATTTCTGTCATCAGAGCCTGATGAACATCAGTGACCAGATGATTCTCTGAGGACAGGAAAAGCCAGAGCTGTTCTGCCAGCCAGGTTTAATTTTTAATTGCCAGTGTTTGGCATAAGGAGAATAATCCTTAGGGGGAAGAGTTCAGGGGGAATGTGCCATGCACATTAAAAGCTGATGAAGTGCTTGGACACCAATCAGGTACAGCTTAGCTAAATGTGGTGTGATTGGGGTTTAGGCAGCTTTTATTTAACATTAAATAAATATTGTTGCCATACAATGAGATATTTTGGGCTCTCTTTGCCCGTTCTCATAAAATCTCCATTTTATAATTGCTGTGTCTAAGTTTTGAAGACTAAGAGATCACTGAGGGGAAACAAAATAGTTCTGATAAAGTACATTTATAATCCTTAGTCCTGTGCAATCAGCATTTCCAATGCAAAGTTATTTCATTTTTCATTTAACAGCCCCAAATCCTACTGAACGTTTTATAACATTTTTTCCCTATCACATGAACACCTGTTGATGTTTATGAAGATTTAAAAATGAAGTTACCCTGAAGCGTCTAATAAATGCAAGGGCCATAAAAGTCAGACAGCTATGGAGGAAAGCTTTTAAAGGAGGTTTTGAAAGGAGTTTTCTATTTTAAAATAATGGCTGGTACTTTTGCCCTTCATCATTTTTATTTTAAAAGTAAAACTACCAGGCATAAATAGCTGTGTTTTTTCTTATGCCTGAGCCAGCCTGTGCTACTGGAAAATCTCTATTTATTTGAAGCTGGCTTTGACATTAAATGGTGTCACAAAGTATTTGATATGAATTCACTGGAAATTTGGTTTAAAAGCACAGAACCTTTACTCTGCTCAGCAAGGGGACCTTGCTCTAAACTTGCCTTAAGGGATGGAATATTCTTAGTTATCAACACTATTTTATTTGTGTGATTTGGGGGTTTTAAACCTGTTAGGATCTTATTTGCAGGGTACTAATACATTTCTTTTATCAGTTTAGTGAAAGAAATATGTATCTATTAAAAAAATAATTGTAGCTTTGAAATATGCCTGTTTATAAGAGCCCAACTAATTTGAAGTCTCCAGGCTTAACTTTTCCTGTTGTTATTTTGCAAGTAATGTATGTAATTCCCATATCCAGAATAAAAGCCCAGCCAGATTTTTCCATCATCTGCAATAAAAGCTGTTCAGACTTAATCAGCTCCTCAGAGACAACCATTGTTTTCAGCAAATTCCAACACTGTCAAATTAATATGAATGCTGTGAGGATCAGCTGGAAGGGGCCAGCACCTGTGTGGGATTTTTCTGCAGATAAGGCAAATCTAAATTTTTCCAGGAGCAGAAGAGCAGGTTTGGGGGAAGGAGAAGGAGGTGGACTCTCCATATTAATAAACAAGTATTAATTTAGGAGAAAGGTGAATGACACCATTGTTCTCTGTGTGTTTCCTAAATTATTTAGGAATTTATAGCATATAGGGGTAAGAGTGAGCTTTTATTGTTAAGTTAATCCAACAGAACTTCATTTATTGGAGATGAAGATGAAAGCATCTCTTGGTTTTAAAAAAAAGTCCTGACATCAAACCCTCACTAAGTTATTTACAACTCTGTGTATCTTCCACATAGGAATGTGTATCCATATGAACAAATCTGAGGGTGAAAATGTGGGATTTTTGTAATTTTACTGGTGCTTAAAACCTGAGACCATCATTAGAATGTACTGTTGATAAGAAGATGGGGTTTGCTTCAAAAACTCCACAGATTTCTGATTATTATAAAGAGTTGCTCAGTGAAAACAGAAATAATTTGTGCCAGAATCAAGCACTTCCTCAGAGGTATTTTGTAATGTCTTTATGTCAACCTGTGGATTTCAAAGTGGTCAAAACCTCTTGGCCTGAAGGCATCAGAGACCTCTGATAGTTATTCTTCAGGCCCTTGATGAAATGTCAATTAAAACATAAAACCCAGAGCTTTTCTCTAAAGGCCACAGAAAGATTTGCAGGGCTGTTTTGAGTAAATGTCACTTTAAATTCTTACCAGTTGCTCCTTTCTTTTTTAGTTTTAATTCCTTTTTTATTTGTAGTGACTGAGAATGTAAATTATGTTTTAGTAGCTACTTTTGCATGTATTGTAAACTTGAAACACCCTTGTGGTCATTGAAATCTGGAAGGTTTTACCTGAAAATTTTGTTTTTATGAAATCTGGTAAATCAACATTTTGTCCTTTGGTTGTTTGGAACAATCTACAGTGGATTTTTCTACATTTTTATGGTAACATTTTATATAAATACATAAATAATCTTTCAAATTACTTAAATTATTTTTCAAATTACTTAGTGGATCTTAAAGTTGCTCACCCTGCCATTCCCAGAGGAGCTTCTACCTAATTCCAGGTATAAACAGGACATATTAAGCAAAAAACAGCAAAACCAGGCCAGAGAGAATGATGGGGATAAAGTAGAGCCGTGTCTGCCAAGGAAAAGCTTGGAAACAGCTTCAGTTCTTCCTAAATAACTGGTAAACATTATAAGAATAAAAATCCTTGATTTTAAGCACATTGCAACTGGAATTATTGAGGCAGCTGAGCACTTTTTCCATGTGAATAATCCCTTTAATTCTGAGTTTTCCCTCACACATCAGCTTGAGCTTCCTTTCCAGAGGTGATGTCCAGCTGCAGCTTAAGGAATTTTCAGTTTATTGGGGTTTTGTAGTCCCTTGGAATGGGTAAGTATAGGCTGTTGGATCCTGTGACCAGGACAACTGGTGAGCCCCATGCAGGGAAGTTCTGGCTCCAATGCATCCCTGGAATTCCAGCTGAGCAGGAGCACCCAAACAGCCTTGGCTGGATTTGTGCTCCCAGAGCAATTCCCATCTGGCTTTGCCTGGCTGCCCACAATAGGAACAGAAATGGATAAAACTAAGACAGAGAGAACTGTGTGAGGTGTCCCTGCCTGTGGGAGGGGTTGGAATGACACGATCTTCCACTCTCCCAGGCTGCTCCAAGCCCCAAAGCCCAGCCTGGCCTTGGACACTCCCAAGGATCCAGGGGCAGCCACAGCTTCTCTGGGCACCCTGTGCCAGGGCCTGCCCACCCTCCCAGGGAACAATTCCTTCCCAATATCCCATCTATCCCTGCCCTCTGGCACTGGGAAGACATTCCCTGTGTCCTGTCCCTCTAGCCCTTGTACAGAGCCTCTCTCCATCTCTCCTGTAGCTCCTTCAGGCACTGGAAGGCCACAATTTGGTCACCCCAAAGCTTCTCCTCTCCAGGCTGAGCAATCCCAGCTCTCCCAGCCTTTCCTCCCAGCAGAGCTGCTCCATCCCTCTGATCATCCTGGTGCCTCCTCTGGACTCTCTCCAACACTCCCATGACCTTCTTATGCTGGAGGCACCAGAACTGTGCACAGAATTCCAGGTGGGGTCTCACCTGAGCAGAGTAAAGGGGGAGAAGCACCTCTATGAAAATATTTCCTTTCAAGTCCTTCTTTACTTTAGTTAACACACATGTGTTCAGATTTGGGTTCTCTTAGATATTTCCCAGCCTTTTCAGGGAAAGATTCCAAAGCCTGGACAAAGCCAGTACCTGGCTCAGTCTCCTGCACTTCTGGATGTTGCTGGCACAGTCCTCAGTCTCACAGCAGCACATACAGCCAATCATCTCTTTTTTGGGCATTTAGATCATCCTTTGTAGCTGAAGAAATCATCAGCCTGGATTAGTGTTGGATAAATCCCTTTGAGACAAGGGGAATTTTCTTCCTGGTGAACATTTTATGCCTCACTGAAGTGGCCTGGTAATGAGAGATGAAAAAGTGATTCTGAGTGGCCTCAAAGCTCTTAATCCTCCAAAAATGTGGGCAGGAGAGCACCAGGAGCTGTTTGATAAATGTTCAGTTTATTTTTCAGAGGTGATTCCCAGGACTGACATAAAAAGAAGTGGTTTCTTTCCTGTATATCCCTTTTTTTATAATGGTTATCACTGTAAAAGCTGGGATATTTCAGCCATGGGCAATTCCCCTCCATATCCTGCCTTTCTTTTTTACTGGAGATATTAATAGAAACAGATGCAAACCACTAGTTTTAATGAGCAGCCAGCTTCCAGAGCTCCAGAACATCCCATTTAATGCTTTATCCATTCTCCTAACACCTCCTGAGGCTTTCCTTCAGTGGATCCCATTTGTCAAATTGGGAGTAATTGTCATTGTCTTCCATGCACTCACTAAAACTAAGAAGCTATTAGATATTTAATTAAAGATTTCGCTGCATTTTAGTTGGAGGTAAAACCATTTTCAGGTGGGCCAGACCTTATCTTTTAGAAGCTCTTCCTGTGGAAGGTCAGTGGCTGCTGGAGATTACGATATGGGACACATGCTGCAAATTCCAGGAGTTCATCAAGTAATTTTATCTCAAGGCTTTAGAAGTTGATGGGGATTTATGTGTTCAGCTTGTGAGAGTTAAAAATTCAGAATTTCAGGCCCTCTTGTTGAGTTACCTACTAAAGAGAGAAATCCTTCAAATTTTAGGGTTTATGTGAATGAAATTAGGGTGAATTTACACGAGTGTACTATTCACATCCCTAAGCCGGTGTAAGACCCACCAAACTCATGCACCTGCTCTTGACTGTCCAATCTTCTATGGTTGCTTTGAGTAAGTTACAAAAGCCTGTAAATTTGGGGGGTTTTAGCACCACTTTCTAATTTTTTCATAGAACTAGCTTTATAAAACTTTCCTGATTGAACTCCTTGTTATATAAATGATTCAGATTTGAGTTGAAATCTACATATGGAGATAATATATGGAGAGAGACCTGGAAAATAACGCTGTGTTCATGATGCTGCCATTCCATACTGGTCCTTAGGGGTGAAATCCAGGCACACCTGAGATCTTCACCTGTTGACTTCCAATGAAAGTGAAATCCATTTTCCCCCATTCGTTCCTGGGCCAAGAAATTCTGTCTGGGGTTTTCTGTCTGTTACCAGTTTGAATCCCTGAGTGGTTTGGGTTGGGAGGGACCTTGAAGCCCATCCAGTGCCACCCCCTGCCATGGGCAGGGACACCTTCCACTATCCCAGGCTGCTCCAAGCCCCAAAGTCCAGCCTGGCCTTGGACACTTCCAGGGATCCAGGGGCAGCCACAGCTTCTTTGGGCACCCTGTGCCAGGGCCTGCCCACTCTCCCAGGGAACAATTCCTTCCCAGTATCCCTCTGGCAGTGGGAAGCCATTCCATGTGTCCTGTCCCTCCATCCCTTGTCCCAAGTCCCTCTCCAGTTCTCCTGGAGCCACTTTAAGCACTGGAAGAAGCTCGAAGGTCTCCCTGGAGTCTTCTCTTCTCCAGGCTGGACATTCCAAATATCTTTTCCTGTCTTCCTAGCAGAGGTGCTCCAGCCTTCCTCTCCTGGAGAGTGGAAGTAGCAATTCCTGGCTTCCTCTGGAGTTACTTGCAGAAACACGCATGAAAATCCCCAATAATCATGGTGTTTCCTTTCTCCCCATTTCCCCTGGCTTTATTCCATTACAATTTTCCTGCTGGGAGTTATCTGGACAGTGCACATGTGCGTCATGCAAGGCCCCTTTTCCAGGGACAGCCTCACCAATATTGGGGACATGTTTGTAGCTGTCACCTGTGTCAGAAATAAATGACATTTCCCATGAGCAAATGGAATCTTATGGAATCATGCAGCCATGGAAGAAATTATTTGAGCTGGATGAGCTTTTTTAAAGTTTCATATTAGTCCTGAATCTCAGGGAAACTGTGGAGAAAATGAATGTGGTGCCTGCCAAGCACAATCCTTGCTCTGTGGTTTATTTGGGAATATTATCAGCTAGATTCAAGTTTTGCTGCAGACATAATAATGCATCTAAATTAATTTAGAACAGAGGCGAAAGATGATTAATATTTCAGATAATTAAAACTTGCATCTAAATAGATTTCCCTGGGAAATCTCTCTGGAGATTTTTCTAATTTCATCAGTGCCAAAATACCATAAATAAAAAATAAATCCTGGTTTTGTTATTTTTCTGAAGTGACAGGAGCAAAGTGTACTTAATAATCACATCAGGAGCAACAATAACCTGATGAGATTTTTGTTTATTTAATCACAAATTACCTGGTGTGAGGAGCTTTAATGATGATGAGGACTCTTAGTCTTCCAAGCAAGTTTAAGGCCATTACTCCAAACCCAAATAGGCTGAATTTCAGCAGGTAATTTGCTCTTAATTATAACATTGAAGAAAAATGACTGAAGCAGGGAATGCCAGGGGGAAAGTTGATAATGAACTCTGAAATACCGTGATCCCAGAAATTTCTCACTTTTTCCAGGATTTGCCCTCTTTAGCACGTGTGAAATGCTTTTAACTATGAACACAATCATTTATTAATTTGCTCAGCACTCAAACATGCCTGGCAGACCCAGCTGGGATGATTAAAGCTACTGATGGCCTCATAAACTCTGCCCCGGCTGGAATTCCTTGGAGAACATCAAGAGGCAACACTCAAATTACTTCTGTTGGATCAGCAAAACACTGATAGCTCTTAGTGAGCTCAAACCACTTTTGTAGCCATTTCCATTGCTGTTTGCAAAAGGAAATGTTCTGTTCCCATGTAGTTCGTGGCTGGCATGGGACATGGAATGTATTCCCAATCCCAACAAAGCACATTATTGAATACAGGTGAAAATCAGCCATCTACCATTAATAATGTTTTGGCTGTTTAAACACAATATAAAGGTCAAAGCTTGATCAGAGCTCGAGACTCAGGCTTTCAGAAAATTAAATCATGTTGTTGCTAGGACAGAAGTGTTTCTCTGAATCTACTCCCAAATATATTTAGCAAATAATTTAGTTGGAATTTTGTAAAATGTCCTAAATCTCTCCGTATCCAGACTTTGTCAGGCTGGAAAATCATTATTCAGACATTAGTGTGCAAAGAGGATCAGAGGGAATCTGTCCTAGACCCCCTAGCGTGGATGAAGAGACAGATGAGACATCCTACAAGTAGCTGGGAGATGTTTGACCATTGCAAACCCTGGTTCTCCTGAGGGACTTCAGCCTACAAGGTGTCTGCTGGAAATTAAACTGGGCAGGGACAAAACCCTACAGGAGATGCAGAGAAGAAACATCCAGTTCCATATAGTGTGTGGAAAGAAAAGGCAAAAGCCCAGCTAGAACTTCTCTGGCTACAGCCATAAAAAACAATAAAAAATGTTTCCATAAATGTATCAGCAACAAGAAGTGGGCTAAGGATTATCTCCATCATTTGTTGGATGCCAGCAAGCCAAGGCAGTGCCTGTCCCCCTGTGCTGGCACCTCAAATCCTAGGGTCTGTTTTGGGCTCCTCCTGGCGACAGAGCCCCGGAGGGGCTGGAGCGTGTCCAGGGAAGGGAACAGAGCTGGGGAAGGGGCTGGAGCCCCAGGAGAGGCTGAGGGAGCTGGGAAAGGGGCTCAGCCTGGAGAAAAGGAGGCTCAGGGGGAACCTTCTGGCTCTGCACAACTCCCTGACAGGAGGGGACAGCCAGGGGGGGTCGGGCTCTGCTGCCAGGGAACAGGGACAGGACAAGGGGAAACGGCCTCAAACTGGCAGGGGAGGCTCAGGTTGGAGAGCAGGAGGAATTTCTCCATGGAAAGGGTGCTCAGGCCTTGGCAGGGGCTGCCCAGGGAGGTTTGGAGTCCCCATCCCTGGAGGTGTTCAATAAAGATGTGACTGGTGGCACTTGGGGGCATGGGTCAGTGCTGGCCTCAGGAGCACTGCGCTAACGGTTGGATTCAATGACCCTTGAGGTGTTTTCAAAAATGGGATTGTTGGAAAATAATGGATGCCCTAAAAAACTAAATCTTTCTAATAGTTATTATTTTTTAGGCAGGTGGTGTTAAAACAGTTAAATGGGTAAATAGCCTTCCATTAGAAAATGCTGAGATACTGATGGGAAAAATTCCTCTCTTCAACCTTCTGGCAATGCTCCTTCTGATTCCTCTTTTGCTTTGGTGTTTCAGACGCTTTGTGACACAACCAGAGACTACCTGGGCTCAGTCCTTGTCACCAAAGCAGGGTCTAAACCATGGGGAAGATTCCTTCTGGGACTGCTTAAAATCCACCTGCAAGACAGCATTTTCTTTAACCACTGACAAGTTTCTTAAATGAGTTTTATACCAAGTGAAAGTATTTTTGAAAGGTATTTTAACCTTAAGCCATGCCCATCTTCAGTTTCAATTTTTAGAAAACATTTTTGGGTTTAAGTAGGTGGGAGTTCAGCCCTTTTCTTTCCAAACCTCTGGTGATTTTTCTTCCTGGACCTCTCAGGTGTCATGGATGGTATTTTCGGGGGATTGAATGGGTTGCTCAAGTTTGAGGAAGACAAACTGCAAGTTCTGCTTGTGATGACCTTACCAATGTTGCATTTTAATCCTTCAGGAGGTGTATAAAAGCCCAAAAATATCCAATTTGCCTCTTTTTGCATTCCAGGGCACCCCAGCAAGTCGGGTCCGCTACAAGGTGGATGTTGTCCAGTTTCCCTACAGTGCCAGCATTTTTGATGTAGAGGAAAACTCAGGACGTGTCGTCACCCGAGTAAACCTCAATGAAGAGCCCAGCACAGTGTTCAAGGTACAAATTCAGCTGCAGTGCCAGGAAATGTTCCCTGAATTTGCTGGCATTCCTTTTGCTGTCATAGTTCTCTTTTGTTTTTTCAATTGCATAGTAAAATCCCAGAATCATTAAAGCTGGAAAAGACCACCAAGATAAAATCCAACCTTCCACTGGATTTCCATGCAAAATTTCAATTCTGTTTGCTCCTTTGTTTCTTTCTTTTTCTCCTGTCATGTGTTTTGTGCCATTGTGATTGCAGGAATGTCTCCAATGGATGTGATTGCACCTGTTGGGAGGGTGGGGAAAACAGAAAGACAGCTTGGGGAACCCTCATTTTACCCAAGTTCACTTTCCACAGGGCTTTTGGGGAGAATCTGGGGAGAACTTTGTAAGAAGAGCAAGATATCTTGTAAATAAAGTTACTGCACAGCTGGGTAGTTCAGGAGCTCCTGTTCATAAGTCTTTTAATGTAAAAACATTGATTTTAAGGAAACCTAAATTCCCATTTTGTTGTCACTGGTCCTAAAGAGTCTGAAGTCGATTAGTTTGGATTAAGGTATGATTTAAACATCTGCCCTTTAAGATCTATGAAGGGAAGTGGTAGTAAAAAAAAAGAAAATAAAAGTGGGTCAGTAAGGAAAAAAAATTATATCCGTAATATCTTGGGTTTGATGTAATTTCCCTACTTGGAAACTTCCTTACAGCCATTAAGGTGTTTTTTTCCTCTTTCAGTTATTTATTTCTGAAATGAGGGCTAAAGAGAGGTTTATTTGCATGCTTTCCATTATAAGGAATAAAGCTGTCCACTGTTTTCCACTCCTGAGTGTCCCATCAGGGGCTACTTGAGCTGGAGCAGTCCCTTGTTTAGGACAGTGCTAATTTAAGTCCTTTTAAGTTTCTAATGAATATAATAAAATCCAAGGGAGAAGAGGATTTTTTCTTGGTTAACATCACCAGAGTGGAACTTTCCTATTGCTGCACTTGTTGTTTTTACTTCTTAGTACTTATTTTGTGGGGATGTTTTCCAAAAGCAGGATCTATCCCACACTACTTCACATTAGGGCAGTAAATGGGACATTCAGCAGGGAATTACTTTTCAGAAAATGTGGATTATTAGGAAAAAAGCACAGAGAAGACTCCAGAAATCAGTGATAGGAACACTTGGAGTTGGTATTTTCTTCGAGACTACTGGGCTTGTGTCTGCTGCTGAATCCTCTGGGAATTTTTCCAGTCACTCTTTAACATCCGGATAATTTCTCCAATTATGTCTTGTACTGGTGACTTTTCTGATATACTGGCTGGAAAAAAAAGGGTTATTGTGGAATAGCTTGGACTGGCAGAAAAGAGTTGAAAATTCCCTGCTAGAATGAAGTGCAGACCTGCCTCATGTTGTGATCTCCAGAATTAAGGAAAAATTTAGGGGGAAAACTGGAAAAATGCTCATTGTTCCTTCTTCGGTGGGCTGGAGTCACATCCATTTGCAAGCAGATTCCATGTGAAAGCTAAAAACAAATGAACATGCTTGTGCCAGCACAAAATCACAGATTAAATCAACAAATAGACGTGAGAAAAGATTTTTAAAAATCACAATATTTATAACAGGCCTCATTTAAAAGAAGGTAATTTGGTCTTGTCCATATTTGAGCTTACAGCATCTCCTTTCTGCAGAGGACTTTTTGGAGGGGGGTGGGAAGTAATGTTAATTTTTTTTGTTCTAACATGAGCCCTTGGTTCTGGATACTAATGTCAGCAACAGATAATTCTCACCCATGGCTCTTCCTGTTTGTTTTATTGGGAGTTATGGAGTCCCAGAATTACTGAGGTTGGAAAAGCCCTCAGGATCATGGGGTCCAACCTGTGACCAATCCCTGCCAGAGCACTGAGTGCCACATCCAGCAGTTTCTTAGACACCACCAGGGGTGGAGACTCCAGACCTCCCTGAGCAGCCCATTCCAATGTTTAACAACCCTTTCCAGGAAGAAATTCCTCCAGTTTACCATGTTTCTGTAAATCTTCCAGCAGAGGTTCAACCTGAGGATGGCTGTCACCTTTTCCCTGTTATGTTCATACACAACACTTGACTTACAGCAAAAGAAAACCACGTCTGATTTTTTAGACCCTCATAATACCAGAATTGCTGGAAGTCAGGATGAAAAATGTTCTTTTGTGTAGTCAGAGTCTGATTTTCTGTGTTGTTTGTAGCTGGTGGTCATTGCCTACGATGATGGGGACCCAGTGAAGTCCAACACCACCACAGTGGAAATTGCGGTGCTGCAGCCCTCAGTCATCCCACGCTTCACACAGGATGAATACAGGTAAAGACTTCATTCTTTCACCCTAAAACTGGTATTTTTAATGACAAAATAAAGTCCTGCTTGAAGGCTAGTCTAAAATAGAGCTACAAAAATACTCTGTTGTGGTGGAATTTTACTCTCTGAGCAGATTGTCACCAGCTGGAAAGATCTGGGCTGACGGTGATAGTGAGGAAAGGTTTGCTTGAAATTTTCCCTTCAGAAATTGTTGAAAATATTAGTCATTTGGATAAACAAATTTCATGCCCTTGAATTGGGACTGGGATCACCAGGACTCTCAGTTAAGTTTCCTGGAGAGTGTTTTGGGCCTCTACACTATTTGTGTGAGGAATGAGAGAACTCAAGACTTGATCTCTTTAATATCAGAGGTACAGGTGATGGTTATTATCACCACAATAACATCATTTCATAAATTTACCCTCTGACAATTCAGTAGCATCGACCTCAGTGTCTTAAAACTGATCAAAAGCAAACCAAAAAGTGGGGCACAGGCTGATAGGTTTGTTATATTTTGTAACAGAGAATGCGTTCATGAATTTGACATCTGTACAATAATAGGATGTGATAAGATCAGGGCAAGCAGCTTCAGGATATCAAGAAGTTGCAAAGTGTTATCTCTATGCCACTGTAGTGACATAATCAGCAGCAGAATGTAGTGGGGTTTGTTCAGATATTTTCAAATCCAATGACTGCAGAGAATCAGAAAGCAGAAATTGAACATAAATTGTCTTCAGTAAGCCCTAAAAGATGGGCTTGCTCAGCTATGTAAAGGAGTTTAGACAAAAATTCGTTATCTGCACTCTATTTGTCCTCATGATTGGAGTATTAGCATATTTCTCACTTAAAGAAGTGAAAAACATCAAAACCATGCATCTCTTCTCCTAATTTTGTATTTCACTTGAAACAAATGTGAAATCTGAAGGACCAGTGCAAAATAACAAACTTTGCAGTTAATAACAGTCCTTTGTTGAAGTATTTTTCTCAAGAGAGAAATTGTTCCTGCTGCTCCCTACAGTTTTAGTTACCTCCAGAGGTGTGCAGTGTTTGTTGCATTACTTTGGGTAATGTAGCAAATAAAAACACGTCCATTTCTGACTGAAATTTCAGATCAGGGCAGGCAGGTGTCTGTTGAGGCAAACTTGCTGTGGAGCAGGTCCAGAGAGGGCCCAGAAATTGCTGAGGGGACTGGAGCAGCTTCCCTCTGGGGCCAGGCTGGGAGAGCTGGAAATGTTCAGCCTGGAGAGGAGAAGGGTGTATGGAGACCTCACAGCTCCTTCCAGGGTCTGAAGGGATACAGGGAAGCTGGAGAGGGACCCTGCATCAGGAACCGGAGTGACAGGACAAGGGGGATGGGTTCCCACTGCCAAAGGACAGAGTTGGAAGGGATATTGGGGAGGTTCTGGCACAGGGTGCCCAGAGCAGCTGTGGCTGCCCCTGGATCCCTGGCAGTGTCCAAGGCCAGGTTGGACATTGGGGCTTGGAGCAGCCTGGGATAGTGGAAGGTGTCCCTGCCCATGGCAGGGGGTGGCACTGGATGGGCTTTGAGGTCCCTTCCAACCCAAACCACTCTGGGATTGTGGGATTCCTGAGCCTGCCCTGAGCTCCAGTTTAATCCCAGCATCTGGGAATGTTATTTCACTACAGTGAAGAACTCTTTCAGTAAAAGTGACTCGTAGCCCAGAATACCTTTTGATGACAACACCTGAATAACCCAGGTTTTGTGTCCCTGTGAACTCTTTGGAATATCTGGACAGCCTGGTTTTTCTTTCCAAAGCACAGCTCCATTTATGGGAAATTCTTTGAACAGTGTTATGAAGCTCTTAAAATCTTTTGGGGACAGCAAAGGAAGTTACTTATTTTCCTCAATGTCAAAAATGAAATTAAAACAACTCCAGAAGTTTCTGGTTCAGCTTGGAGACTCTCAAATATTTGGGAGCAGGACTAGTGTTGATTCCTAAGGTTTTCAGGGATTGTCACACTCTGCAAGCTGTGCTTTGTGTTTGGTTTGTTGACAGTGATGCAAGCTGGAATTAGCAGGTGTCACAGGACCTCATTTTCCAGTGGCATGGGATATCTTTAGGGTGAAAGGCAGCACAGAGCAATGGTGCCCCTTGCAAAATTAAAAAGTTGCTGGATGTGGATGCTCGAATTTCAGATGGATTGAGAATTAGTGGCTTTAGAGTGGATTGATATTGATCTTTGTTTGTCTAATTACCATAATCTGGATGATTCCAGCACTGTTTTCAAGCTGGTTTACAAACTTCCTTCCTGTGTATTTAGGGAAAGGTCACACTTGAACAGTTTTACAGAATAAAGCTGCAGCCTGTGCTACAAAATCAAAAATAAATTAAAAAGAGAAAGAGGGAGAGAGAGCAGATGGCATGAGCAGAAAGGGAGATGAAAGTGCCACTCTGCCTTGAGCTGAGCTGTGGAGCCTGGCAGCTCTGCCAGAGGAACACCAGCATTGCTTGGAGCCCTCCTTACACCCAGGGAGACTTTGATTGATCATTATCCCTGTCTTAGAGGTACTTCCAGAGGAGACACCAGTCAAGTGGATGAAGGCACACTGGTATTTATTCACTGGCTCACCCTCTGCATTGTTGCATCATTTGGGGCAAATTAATTAGTCTCTTTTCCCCCCACCTTCTTTGTTTAGATTGTAAATTATTCTGGAGACTTCTAAACACTGCTGTGCTCTCCATATCAAACAGTAAAGGGCAGCTGAGGGCTTTGAGATCCAGAAAATATAAAATGGAGCAGTTGATTTGCAATAACTGGGGGATAAAATATAGTTCCTTCCTAATGACTGCAAGAGATAACCCCAAAAGTCGACCAGAGGGGATCTTCTGCATCTTTGGCTCCTCTGGATGAGACTGGCAAGAGTAGGCCAGGTAGGATTTGGGATGTTTCTCACCCCAGCATTCACTCCCTCTTAGAAGCAGAGCAGCAGCAGGGCAATCTTCTCACTCTCTTCAACTGCCTGGAAAAAGGTTGGAGCCAGGGGGGGTCGGGCTCTGCTGCCAGGGAACAGGGACAGGACAAGGGGAAACGGCCTCAAGCTGTGCCAGGGGAGGCTCAGGTTGGAGAGCAGGAGGAATTTCTCCATGGAAAGGGTGCTCAGGCCTTGTGAGGGGCTGCCCAGGGAGGTTTGGAGTCTCCATGACTGAAGATGTTGATAAACTATGTGGATGTGGCACTTGGGGATGTGGTTAGTGGGGAACAGGGCACTGCTGGGTTCCCAGTTGGACACGATGGCCTCTGAGGGCTTTTCCAAGCCTGGTGACTCTGTGGTCAGCCCTGTACGGTCCCAGTGCTCCAGCTGGATCTCCCCCGTGCAGCCCAGGAGCTGAACTGCATGAGCAGGGTGGGTCCTTGCCTGTCCTTGCCGTGGATGTTAAGGATGATTCAGAGAGAGCTGATGGCAGCAGTGCCTGACAACCAAAGCATTTTCCAAGCCAGGCATTGTTCCACAGAAAAAACAAAGTGTGTTTTTTGGGCAAAAATCCCAAAGAATCAAAGTGCTGGAGCGTGCGGACATTTAATTGGAGATGGCTGGGCCACCTCAGAGCCAGCTGACCTTTGGTGCCAGGGAAGAACATGGCTGATGCTGCTTTTGTCACCACATCTCCCTCAGGGTGTTGGCTGTCAGTCGGATTCCACTGTTTTTCTACAGAACTGATGGAAGACATGGACACTTCCAGTGTCTCCAGCCCACTGACAGCCTGGAGAGCCTGGAGAGAGGGTTGGTGGGGACAGGGAGACTTTCTACACCCCTGCCACGAACAGGACGAGACAATTCACACAATTTATTAAAGTTTTTAATGCTGGCTTTGATCTCATCCTGATTTGTGCCAGCAAAATGGTCTCTGGACAAAGAATCATGGAATTCCAGATGGTTTGGGTTGCAAGGGACCTTAAAATTCATCTCATTCCACCCCTGTCATGGGCAGGGACACCTTCCACTATCCCAGGTTGCTCCAAGCCCTGTCCAGCCTGGCCTTGGGCACTTCCAGCCACAGCTCCTCTGGACAACCAAAAAAAAAAAAAAGAAGGTTAAAACCCAATAAACCAAATAAATCAATTTTCTGAGAAAATAAAATCTGCCATACAGAGCCCTTTTCCCAAGCTCTTCTTTCTTTTCTCCTGACTTCACCCAGATCACCTCTGGATCAGGATTTAATCCAGAAGTTTCCATTACTTCACAACAACTTATGACAGCACTTTCATTTCTTAATTAAGAGATATTAATTAGTAGTGCTATGAAATAGTGGAGACCAGATGTAACTGGAACCTCAGATGAATATAAAGAGGTATTTTTAGCAAGCCTGTCCTCTTTATGAACACGTCCTCAATTTAAAACAGTAAAAGTTGAAAGGGATTTGGGGTCTTTTTGGTATTGTGTTAATTAATAAATTCCACATCCTCTGCAAGGGGAAGGTCATTGCTCGTAGCAAAGTGCTGCTGGAGCAGGGAATGGAATGGGAGCCCGGGGCAGCGTCATTGCTTCCTAATTAGTGCCTGTGGGTACATTAACCAGGTGTTCAGTCATTCCAGAATAGGAAAAATGGGGAATTTTGCAAACTTACAGCTTCTGTTAGTGTTGCATTACAGCTCCCCAACCTGTCCCAAAAGATGTGTCCAGTTGCCCAGCAATCCAAAGTTTTATGGGGAAATATGGGAGGCTGTGAATTACAGGCTATAACTAGATGTTAATGTAGTGTGGAATTTTATTTAATTTTATTTCTCTCCCAGTACCAGCCCTGCTGTGGAAATGTGTTCTGCCTAAACAGGGAGATCTGGGGACACATGGAGCTCATTCTCCCTTGGTGGAAGAGATGTTGTAATGTTTTCCACCCAATTAAATCCTTCAATTTGGAGTCAGACACCATCCAAGCAAAAGGATTTCACAAAACAAAATCATGGAGCTGTATCAGGAGTCAGTTATTCCAAAAGATTTTCCCCAGTTCTCCGGTTTCCTGCTGTTCACTCAAACAGTTATCCTC